ATAAAAAAAGGAAGAGATGAAGAACACCTAGCACTTTGACTTTTGTGATCCGATTCATCAATAAATATATTACCAACAGCGGTTGCAATTTCCTCCGTCATTTAAGAATGCGTAATAAAAAAAAGCTGAAAAAACACATATGCATATTAATGCATTAGCTAATGAGATAAGCATGGCATAAAATTCTTAACCGAAATTTCATCCATTAATAAATTATATGATATGGGTATTTAACATTTAAATGTGTAAAGAATTTAAAGAAAATGAGAAAAAAAAAAACGAAATGCATTTGTATAATATTACAACATGGAAAAGTAAAAAAAAAAAAAATCCTATGCTGAAATAAATTACCGTTAGTGATAAAAGACCATAGAATTCTTGAAAATTCAGGCGGCTCCATCATAATAAATGGCGAGCAACCGTAAAATACCGTACTCGAGAATCACATTCGATGCAAATTTATTCGAGAATCTCGAGTTGGACTGAGGCCGAGCCGCAAATTAATTTATGTCAAGATAACATTCGGAACAAATGGACCTTCGCTGTAGTGCCTTTCTTAATTTTTGCTTATCATTTTTCAACGTACAGTTTTGCTTAAACAGATTTAGTTTCGCTAATCACACTTACCTTTATGATACAGAAGGTGTGGAAATCCTTTTTTCTTACCCGTGGAATTTTGTTCCAGAATTCATCATATTATCAATCTACTGTGTTGGCTGTAAGCACGGAGTTGTTATAGCGACTTAAGTAATTTAAAGTAAGTAATTAAAAGTAAACTGAAATAACCTACAAATTAGACAAAGTAAGGCATTTTAAAATGATAGGAACATTCTATATTGTAATGTAGATGGATAAAAGAAGAAAATTGTCGAACTCCGAGGATTTACATTTTGAGATCCATTAATTTAAAAAATTTATTAAATATACAAAATATTGGAGTGCAAAAAAGTTGTATATAATAGTGCTTTCTAATACATACAAAGAAAGGATTTATTAATGGGACTAAATGATTAAGATGTTAAATTATAATGATAATAGTGAATGGTCATTTTAGTGTTATGCCCATTATTGATGAAGTTTGTGGTGCATCGGCACCCAATGAATTATGTAATGTGTCCAAAGATTTTCTCAAGAAGGCTACATGGTTTCAGCCCACTCACTGCATTACTGTATGCTGAATCCTGTTACTTTACAAAAATTCTGCAATATACTATTGAAGGTTATTTTTCCTCAACTAAATGAGCTCTGTTCTGATTAAGATTCAAACATCAAACAAGTATAGATAAGGATATTTAATTTACCTTGTTGAGTTTTATTCTAAACTTTCTCTGGACACTTTAGTCGTTGATTGCCCACTTCTCAAAAGTTGGAAAACATTTACAGTGTCTTTGATTGCTTCTCTAAAATTTTATAACTTGCTAATTTTTACTCTTTGTAGTTCACTATTAATTACTATCCTTTCAAAATGCTATATTTTCAAAGTAATCTTGAATGCTTTTAATTTATTAGTTACTGCTTAAAAATTGCAAACATATACCCAAATTTAAAGTGTTTTAAGGTATACATTCACTAGAAGTATCATGGGTTGGCACATTTATGCTCTCTGGTGTGCTCTTCCGTTTTGTCAGCTTGCCACTGCATGTGTATGCCGAGAGGCTGTCTGCCGAAAGATACCGTGTTGTCAACACTTTGAATTATGAGCTTATTAAAGTTGGTGAATTTTTCGGATTTAAAATAGTTTGGTTATAGTCATACATCTTATTGAGTAAACAAACAGAAATCTATTTAATATTTGAACAGTTAAACAATGACGGTCACATTAAGAAATTGTTTTGTGCTTATAATTTTAGAATACTTCTACAGTAAATACTCTATTTCAGAAGTTCAGCAAGCATTATGATTTGAATGTTATTTCAAGTGGAAATGGCCGCTTTTTGCAACTTGATACTACTGATAAATCCATACTGGAAAAGACCAATAAACTGGTAGGTCGTTATTCTTGGGAACTGAAATTCGTAAGAATCTTTTCTGAAACTTAAAATTTCTGATAATCTGCTCAATAAAATGAATTTATTTTTTCAGTCGAAAGAAATCATATTGGATATGTGCTGGAAGCATCGTTTACAACTTTCTCGAATTCAGTATTTGAGATTTTGCGCTTTGTCAGTATGGACATTTTCTTCATTTGCAATACGAAATGTCATAAGTCGTTAGTATCAATTACTTTTCTTTGAGCTTTCCTTGTCCTTAGATTATAAACGCAGAATTTCTTCCTCTTCATAATTTTCTTATTAATAGTTTTTACAAACTTGTTTCAATTCATTGAATTTTTATACTCTGATTTTGATGCACTTGTCTTGACACTATACAATTTTTGATAAAGTTTATCATTTCAGTGGAAACTAGTTATCCTCTTCAAGGTATCTTATGGTTTCCAGATCTATTAGAACCTGATCCTTACTATATTCTACCAGTATTAGTTGGTATTTTGGGAATTTTCAACTATTTTGTAAGTTCTCGTTTAAAAATATTGCTTTTTCTGCAACTTTGAAAAGTGTTTATATGCTCATATTCTGAGCAAAAGTTTATTACTCTGTCTACATTTATATCATCGCTGGAAAATTAAAAGCGTAGATATTTCCTAAAGAGATCCTCCAGTTGGTAGTACTAGTACCGTTAATTAGTGATATATATAAGACCATTTTCACTCTATATATCCTAATGGATTTATTTTATGTTTTTCTAGGCGCAGCAGCGTATATATGCTTATAGTTCGATTAAATTGATGTCGGTTATCAATATTTGTTATTCGTTATTCATGATTTTTGGTATATATGTCATGTCGTATATGCCTGTGGTAAGTTTTCTTCTAATAAGGATTGAAATTCCTGACTCAAGTTAAACATTCTAATGTAAGATGAAGAAAAGTTAATCTGTTGCAAAAAAAGTTAAGTTGTTTAAATCACATACTAAAGTGTTATTCTTATTTCAGTGTATTCCATTGTTTTGGTTGTCTGTTTCTCTAACTGGATCCATGCAACACATCGCATTCAGGCATCCTAAAATCAAAAAATTTCTTGGTATAAAATCGTTACCTTCAGATTCTGTCACTCCTATACGAGATCTATTCTTCAAATGAATTCTTTTAAAATATATGTTTTAAAAATATATGTTTTAAACATCTTAAACTTTTAAAATATATGTTTTAAACATCACAGCTAAGATGAACATTATGTGGAATTGTATAATGTATTTTGGCCCTTCTTTTTATTGGTAATTAACGCTGTTGTTTTAAAAAAAAAACCTTTCATAATGAATTATATTAGGTACGTGAATGTCATTTATATTTTATTACTATGCTATACGATTTGCTGATACTACACAACTTTTCCTAATATCCCTTGCTGCATACGTTCACTAATCTATGATTAAAAACTATTTCGAGTGGTCGTGGAAAAAAAATTATTCTTTTTTGTTTTAAATCTCCTCGCCATTCTTTTGCCATCCTTTCAACAATGAGTAAAGTATGGAAGCTGGAAAAACTTAGCCCTTTGTGACATCTCTGTCTTGTAGGTTATTAACTTCTGAATACCTTTGTAAAAGGGAATTTTGAACGAGTTCGGAACTCAACATGCACAGCTAAGCCGCTTATTCATCACAGAGCCCTTGATTTTGAAGATTCCTAAACATTCTTCAAATGTAAGTCTAATCGAAATAATTTCCTTCGTACTGGGAACCTGCCAAATTTTGTTGAATGAGTGTTTGAGTAGACTTCGAATGCGAAAAATAATTTTTGCAATGGTCAGCTGGAAGTCAGACTTCTGGCTCGCATTCCTCTTCTGAGGTGTACATCATCGACTTTTTTTTGATTTAGGCTGATCATTATCAGTAGATGAATAGAAAAGAAATTAATATGGAAGTTCACATGTAAAATGAATTTTATGATTCAATATAATGACTTTGAAATTATCACTAATTTTACAGCGTTTTCAAACTTTCAGTGTTTGATTTCTTCCGTTGCCATTATTCTTTATATGTTGTGGGATATCAGTTAACTGAAAATAGGAATAAATGTGTACTTGATTCATATCATGCGATTTATTGAAAGCAGTTATGACTAATCGTGATGTTGACATTGGAGTTCTTAATTCATTAACTGATTTGTTGAATTTCAATTTGACATTGATACTGCATGTTGAATAACTACTTCTGTTTGTAATTCCTTCCCTTAACTTTTCCTTGCCTGCTTAAATTTTTATTCTATAATATATACATTTCAATTATAACAATGATATTGATGCATGTAGAACTGCATTATCAAATTTCACTTTCTTCCGTGTAAGATAGTAAAACTCATTATGAATTGATGATGCAAAGTAAATGATTATGACTTGCAGTCAGTAATGAAAATAGTGATTCAAAATAGCTATAGAATTTAAATACAAGGACATGCAATAAATATCGGGTGAAACGAATGTAGAGAGATTTTCCAATGCTAATATGACAATGACGGTTGAGTACGTTTGAAAGTGAAGAAGAGATATAAATAGGTTTTATGCGTTGTTTGTACCATTTTCCGCCAATATGCGGTAGAAATTAATGTATTATACGTATTTGAAAATATGATATTTATTGTAGTAAATAAAGCTTTGTGGGCATATGACATTAAAATAGGATATCAAATGATGCAATGAGTACTCAAAAAGTATACTGTGAAACATAAATTGTTATGATAGCAATATTATGTGTTAGAAGTACATGAGACCGTGAATAGATATTGAGATGTAACCTAACTACAATCGTTTTTGGCCCCTTGATAGGTGCTATCATTTTTACAACACCTGCAAAATTCAACATTGGTAATATTGTAAAAGACAACTTCTTTTAAATTCAAATTTATTTTCTATCTTATTTTTCTAATTTGAAACAATTTGATGATTTTCTCAAACTCAAATTTTTTTTGATAAAATTGTTCGTTTGAATAGTGCAAAATTTCAATGAAACATTTTGAATAATCGCTAAGTCAAATGAGGAAAAACTGAAATATATTTGTAAGTTTCTTATTTTTCAAATCGGACTTTCTATTATTACTTTAATTTCAAAAATTTTTACCTAGATTACGATCTTGTTGTACCATAAATGTATCTTGGTTCACTTTATCAATCTTATACTCCACTGATAACGGCTTATCTATTTGCGCTCGCACACGAGAAACCTGTGATAACGATATTTTCTGTTAATTATATACAAGAATAAATTTTACACTAATTCTTGTTGTGTAATTTTATCTATCATCTTACTGCTTTGAAACTTTTTTACGATAAAAAATATGTTAAATAAAACACCGGCTAACTTCAATCGGATATCTTATGTATGTGGTGGATGGTAAACCTCTGAACTGATATAATATCTCTTGGGTATGATTACTGATACAGATCGGATCATTTGGATAACATCGTTTTAAGCAAGAGTAGCCATCATCCACCGAACTGCAATCCATTTAATTTCTTCGTTTTAGTCAGGTTTGTTTATTCAATATCAGAATGGTGATGAATTATTAAGTACAAAAGTACAGAAGTAAACAGTGAGTATCCATGAACTATGATGTGAATGTGGTAGATTTACTGAACTAACAAACTTATAATTTATCCTGGATGCTACAATTTTCTGTTTCACTTTTCTAGTTTGAAAAAATGACGGTTTTCTAAAACTCGAATTTTAATGCTAAATGATATGTAACTTTTATTTTGGAATTTGTACGATATTACATAATGAGCTTATTTCAATTAGAAATTAAGTTGATTAGTAATAAGCAAGCAACTTAATCTATATTAGCAAAACATTCCAGACACATCATGAATCAGCAATTTTTCCAATTTTTAAATTTCCATTATTTCCATCTTCCACAGACTATCATCGAATAATTTGTTAATTAATGTGCTGGTTATGCTCTTGTAGTTTTATGTTAGATTAAAAAAGATGCATGCATACACACATATTTTATCAATTTATCAAACCTAACACCCAATGCAATAGCTAATCTGCATGGAACATATGTGAAATAACGATGAAATCTTTTATGTTATAGAGATATATAAACATGAAAAAAAAATTCTCTAAACATCATCTATAAGAGATAATCCAATAATAAGGCACGTCAAAGCCATTAACTTGAAAAAAAAAAAAAACAAATATAATTAGAATGAATTGAGAAACATCATTACAGTACATGAGATCAATATTAGAAAAACCATCATATGAAACATTCTTGACTGAGCTTATGAATGCAAATTAAAAAGACTGATCGGTGTAGCATTCAGTAAGCCATCATTAATTGCCAATTTTGATCACATTTCAAGCTTATAGAATGTTGAGGTCCTTGAAAAATTTCCAAGAATACCTTTGTAAATGTATTCACAAAAATAAAAGAAATATCGAACAATCACTTCGATGTTATCATTAAACAAAAGCATTATAAGATGAAAAAAAGTTTTTTCTTGAATGAACTATTTATTGTAAAAATTATTTCGACTGCTTGTTAGTAGCAAAGAGTGATAGACAAACAAGATGAGCTAAACAATAAAAATCGTCAAAGAAATACCGATACAGATAATGAATACCGTATCGATCTGTGTCATAAATCGTTAAAATTTTTTAACATTACTAGGTTATTAAAAAAAAAAAATCATAGGAAAGACATATATTAGTGCGATTGACTAATTCATCAAATTAAGCAAAGTTATGAATTACAAATAAGAAGAACTGAAGTAATGAAAAACACTGATAGCCAAGTTTCATACACGTACCAAATAACACCAGATAAAAACGAACATGCTTTTTTTCTTATTTGCTTGAAATGGAAGCGAAAATAGATGGTCCTAAGGATGTTTCGTTATGAACCTTCAGTCAAGAATATATAAAATGCAATGGAATTTTTGTAAATACTATTTTGATAGCTTAGTTAAATATTCAATTAAAAATAAATTCGTCAGAGAATTTTGAAGATTCAATCATTAACAAACTATTTAGATGAGATCATAAATTAGCATAAAAAAATATCCACATAATACATGCTTGATCCCCAATTTAATGCAACGAAGGAGAAAAGGTCACTAACTAACTCCTAACTGACCATAAATATGTCAATTGTTTAAATGTTTAAGATAATTATTCACTATTTTTTTGGGGTATTGCAATATGCATTAATCAAGCTAAGAATTATAAAAAAATATCCACAAGTTTCTCCATCTTCTATAAATCTACCGCTTTCTAAAGTAAGACCAATTTTGTTATTTATCTAGCTAAAGTTAAATTGTCTTAATTTTGAAAATTTCATGCAGTTAAATTTTCAGAAAGAGGGGTTATTCGTTGTCTACGATGTGCAGCAACGTTGATTACCAAATTAGCAATATGTTTACTCTGAAATACACCACCAATATTAAGCCTCAAAATAAGCTCCAAAATGACCTCCTGCGGTCCATCCAGCGAATCTCTTAGAGCAATTATTGCTCCATTTTTCTCCTCACTTTTTTGCAAGAGAAAATTACTTCGAACTGCTGGTAACACATAGAATTTTTCTGAAAAAATATACACACCAGTCCTTCTAGAATAGAAGAACTCTCTTAGACTATGAAAATAAATTTTATGTAAGCGTTCTTTTGATTTTATGCATGTTTGATTGTTATAAAATCTGGCTCAATTATTTTATAGCACTAATAACTTTGAGTAATGTAAAAGCAGGATAGGATGAAATTTCAAGAAGATTCAGAATGCATTGTGAAATATATTAAACAGTTAAACTGAATCACTGATGCTTTAAAATCTTTTTTATACTTATGAAATAAGCCAAACTCTAATTTAATATACAGCAGCATCTCATCACTACTGAAATTGATATAGGTAAAAACAAGTTTATGTAAGAAAAAAACCTGGTATGGCGCTTTTCAATTTCAATTCGAACTGAACACTGCTTGAAGGTGATGTCGGACCACGAACAGTAAAGAGTGTGATGGAAGTTCGTCTTGATGAAATTGGTTCTTGTCTTGGTATGGATGTAAACTCCCAACTTATACGTACTGCATGATTTTTACACGCTTCTTCAGTTAATGAATCGCATAAATGATTCAGTCGGTTACAGCGACTAAATTACGAAAAGTGAATTAAAAAATCGATAACATGCAATTAAAAAGTTATTAGTATGTTCATTCATAAGTTAGTGGTAATTTTAGCATCAAATTCTTATTCTTGGACTGTTGGATAAGCAAAAGAAGAATCAAACGAATGGTAAAGATTAAACAAAAAAACCATGCTAGAAATTTAATTTAATTAAAGATAGAAATTTAATTTAAACATTTGATAAATGTCATACTTTTTATAATTTTTGTCGTGCACATAATTTGGTGGGCAACGTATTACATGACATTTAAAACTTCCCAATGTATTTACACAAATCTGATTGCTTCCTTGACATTCACCTTTTACGCATTCATCAATATCTGCAAGTTAAGTTATTTTCAGAGAATATGGTCAATCATATTGATTTCATTTTATCATTCGAATTTTATAAATGACTTCAAAAGTACCAATAAAAAATCTTCAAAAATTTTTCTATTTAAAAATTAAAGACAAAATTATCAAAATAGTACTCATCTTTACATGTTCTACCATCTTCTTGTATTTCATAACCAGCAGGACACTGACATTTGTAGGAGCCTGGAGTGTTAATACAGTTGCCCATGCAAAGATCATCACCTTCAACATAGGACTTAATAAATCAATCAAGTGTTATTTATATAAACTAATTAAAATGTAAATATATACCTGAATCAGCCCAAAGAGTACATTCATCGATATCTTCACAGATAATTCCATCATCACCGAGGCGATAGCCACGTTCACAAATGCATTGATAACTACCAGGTATATTGATGCACTTCTGTGCACAATTTGCTATGCCAAGACTACATTCATCAATATCTATAGTTTGAAAATTTGCAGTTTGTCATATTTGAAAATTTGAGCACACATTAAAATCTTTTGTGAAGGAAAAAACCACAGTACCTAAGAAACAAAAGTTCTTTCTCATTACACACTGAACAAATTTAATAGATTAATCTTTCCTGAAAAGATTTTGGAACCTCAGAGAGGTGAAAAGGAAGTGGAATAGCTTTGTTATGAGCTCAAATCTTCCAATTTGAATCGAATTTCACTTATTTTCTCTATCCCACTCTCTAAATATTTCTATTTCCATACATTTCAAAATAGTAATAATTATTGATCAAGAAAAATTCTATTAAATCAACTAACCGTCACAATTTCGTGCATCTTTCGCAATATTAAAGCCATCTTTGCAATGACATTTGAATGAGCCATATGTATTCTCGCAAGTTGCATGCAAAGAACAAACATGTCCCTCAAACTTTTTACACTCATCCACGTCTTCGCAGCGTTTCGTCTACAACGTATTATTTATTTTCATAACATACACTTTTCATAGTTAAAATAATTGATTAAAAACTTTTATCAGCTAATATTATAAAATATTACAAAATTGCTCAATTGATATAATCATCATTTTGATCTTTATACTCTTTAATTTACCGTATCATTGAATTCAAAACCCGCTGAGCAGCGACATTTATAGCTACCCAACAAATTGATGCATTGTTTGTCACCACACAAATGAGTTCCATCGGTGCATTCATTAATATCTGAAGTATGAAAATTTGATATAACAATAGTAAAAATCACTAATATCATAAAAAATTGATTTTTTTTTTACTTTCAATAACATATATTATAAAATTTTTTCATCTTAAGATACACTTTTGCGTGTTACACGTCATTGTCATTAAAATTAAACAAAATCCTACGATATCAATCAATTAGCATATTATCAATCATTACATACCTGCAAAAAATTACAGCAAATTTCTGCAATATTAATTTTACTGATAATATTTTTGCTACTCCATCTTGGAAACAATGCTTTTTCTTACATTCAACAATATTTACCAATACAGAATCCAGTATTTCGATCCATACGATAACCACTTGCACATAGATTTCCTCGTTCCTGACAGCGAAATGATCCAGGAGTATTTATGCATTCTTCAAATTGTCTACATCGTCCCGCTAATTCACACTCGTTAACATCTGTAAATTCGGACATTATCAAATAAGCATCCCTTTTTCAAAGCAAGTTTTTGCTTTTGTTAAATTTTTAAAAAGTTTCATTTTCTTTTTTTGCAAGGAAACAAAACATTCGTATGAAAATTGAAAAAGGAACCTTCACAACGTCCTTGAATTGGTTTATAACCAATGGGACAGTCCATATTTGTGCATTCACCTGTTCGTGGATTCATCAATTCACCTTCGGCACATTTTTTTGGATCACAACGATAGCTACCCTGCGTATTACGACACTGGTACAATGGTCCACAATCATGAGAACCAAGGTTGCATTCATCCACATCTATCAATAGTTACTTGTTAAAATTGATTAAATTGATAGCTAAAAGTTAAACCTATTTATTTGTTCTAAATCACATGATATGTCGAGTTTTTCCGTAAGAATCATTTAGGGCAGTAAAATAAAATGAAACAATTCATTTCTTGCAAAAATTTTTTAAAACGATATATCTCATTTTCAATACTATATCATTATTAAGATAAGAATTAGAGAAGCGTATTGTTGTGATGATGAAATCAGTTTATATTTGCTATCAATATTAATTATTAGTTTTATTGACTATTAGACAGTGTTAACTAAAATTGTCACAATTAGTATAAGAATTTTTGAAGTATTAATAAAAATGAATATAAAACACAAAAAAAAAAGGAATAGGTTAGAGAAAAAATAAACCAATGCATTGTTCAGTATCACTATTCAACGCATATCCGGTACCACAGGATAATGTTCGTATGCATTTGAATGAGCCAGGAGTATTTAAGCAACGTTGACTTTCCAAACAATCATCCGCTAGTAGTAAGCATTCATCAATATCTAAGATCAAAAAAAAACCATAGCCAGATATCAATCAGAATTTGAAATTGTTGGTTTACATTCAAATTTCGGAATTTTTTATAGTTTTTAAAGCGAGTTATTTGATTTTTTTTTATTTTGAAAATTTACAGCAATATATATGTTTAAATTTATGATGACAAAGTAATAACTTATTTAAAAATCCATTAAGTAATTTGACATCAAAAATCCAACTTATAACTGTCAGAAAACATCAACAACACTAATTGTCAGACAACAACACTAATTTCAGAATAAATTTAAATATTTTTAAATTAAAGAAGAATAAAGAAAAAAATAGATAACCGACATTTGCATTTGGTGCAAGAAATTACCTACACAAACGGAGCCAATATCACTCCAGTAGAAGCCCGGTAAGCAGACGCAGGAGAACGATCCAGGTGTATTGAGACATAATGAATTAGGCAATGGGCACACTGAATCCTGTGTGTCGCATTCGTTTATGTCTAGAAGCTTGGCTTCTTGGGTAGCAAAAAAGGAATTAATGTAGCTGCCAATTATAATATTAAGGGGATCATCAAAAAGCAAAAATCTGGAAAGCAAATGGTTGAAGTTGGAAAAAAAAATCTAATTCAAATAGATTTCAATTTATTAACGGTGCAAATGAAGCAACAACGGTGTAGCACTTTTTTTTGACCATTTATCTTACTATTAACGTAAATTACTTTCACTATCGATCTATCAATGGTTCTTCATGCTTTCAAATACCCCAGCACTTACAGCACGAAATCAGAAACTGCAAGAATCCTATCTATTATCGTGAATGGTACTGGGTTTTTTGAGGAAAAAAATTGATAGAAATTTTTCTCGCCGAATAGGCAAGCATAATATCCAACAAAATAAATTGACGCTTTACAAGCGAAAAAATTTTTTCTAGTGAGTTTTTTCGTTTTTCAACCTTCTAGAAAATGACACTTTGAAACATATCAATTTAAAGAGCAGCTGCGTAAGGAACAATTTTTATGATAGATGTAACATTTACAATTAACCAACTAGCTAGTGACTATGATTTTAAATATGTTAAAAGTTGCTAGAAAGCATGCAAAATGCAATGTGCAGGCATACGGAATGTGATATGACATTTGTTACTAACAGTCGCTTTATAGTTGAAAATTTTTGTAAAATTAATAATTTCTGAAAAAATTAAATTTTCCAAAAATGATAGTTACAACAAATATGACAATATAATGAATTAATTTGCAATGATGATATAAGAACACATAACCAGAAGAAAATGAATCAAAAAAAAAATTGTAAGATTTTAAAATAATATTATTATCTATGCAGTGTCCTAAAGGTATTAGGATATTTGATATCCTATGAGATTATGTGTACTCATGATACTATCAATAAGATAATAATCCTTCGTTAAATAACGCTATTCCCTACCGGTAATTTTCTCGTATTCGTTCAATCGGTACACAACTAGTACTGGTACTCAAGTGAAATTCTCTTACACCACCTCTTCGCAATTAATTCACTTTATTCAAAGACTATAAAAAAAAAGAGAAAGAAAAAAAAAAACATACTCCTCAATGGTTTAAATATTTTTTGATAAAATGCAAGAAGCGTTTCATAGCGTTGTGTTGAATGATAGGTCAATTGCAGTGCAGGGTTATCAAAAAATTAAGCACATGCAAGACAGTGCAACAGAAAGATGCGATGAAACACCTTTAGGTTAGACCATATGAAAAAATTCGCTAACCGATACATGAATAACCATCCGGTCCTAATTCATACCCAGGACGGCAGGAACATTCTACCATGGTACCTCCTCGATCCGCACATATATGTTCACATTTTGCTGATATGCAACGATCTCCAACATGCAACAAATCTACCAAATTTGAATGATCTGAAAATATTTAATTTTCCAATGATATTTATGTTTATTTGTATGTCGATTTACATAAGCAAGAATAAACTATCAAACATATTTTACATTACTTCATTGCATACAGAAAGTAAAATATAATTACTGATTCTCAAACTATTATAACTTCATTATGGTTTATACGGTCTGGTAGATTTTTTTAGACCGGATTTTTGAGAATTTCACTTTTTGAATCCTAATTCAGAATTTATGAGCACATGAGAGTTTATTCGACCAAAGATATTTGCATTGCTTGTATGATTTCATCATGCCCTTCTAGAAAGATGTCAAGAGAATAATTATAAACTTTCATAACGTTGATGCTGTAAAACGTGTTTTGATTCTGCGTCTTCCGAACAGCACTGATGAAAAGATCGTAAACATTCTGCACCAAAACCACTTGGTGCTATACAATTTTTATCATTTTGTAATAATTCTTTAGCCAAAAGGCAGCATTCACAACATTCCTGTAGTAATAATGATATGTTCAATTATTGTATAAATTAAAATAGAAATTATAATTGAGTAATATAATTTAGCTTGCATGTAAAACTTTTTTTAAAAATTATTTTGTAATAGTTCATTGATCTTTTTCTTAACAATGCATAAAGAATAATGTTAATTGATAATTAATTAATTACCTTACGAATTCCTCCACCAACTTGATCAATATTTGATGAGCATTGATCTTCTTTTTCAGCCATTTTTATACCATAATTGCAATTATGTTCCAGCAATGTATTCATACAACATATTGATGCTGTCAGGACACAAGTATTTGCTGTTTGGTTGAGATTTATTTCAGTGCATGATAATGATTGTTCAAAATGTCTCTTACCACTTGTACAACAATGTGGTAATTCACTAGCATCAGTGAAAGCTATAATTTTCACTCTTAGCTGTAATTTTTTTCTCTCTCATATGAAAAATTTAAGCTTTGATTTTTATTGTCAAATTAAAAAATTTTCAATTGCCAATATCAAAGAAGCGCAATCTATTGTTGCGATCTAATTGTATTTGTTACATTAGCGCAACGATACTATTTCACCAAGAAATAGTTGATACAAATATTCTTAGGTCGAATGGAGAAATATAGTAAGATGAAATAGATCATTTTATTTAATTTGATGAATAATTTAAGTGCTATGTAATTAAACATCTTCTTTGATTAACCATTAGCAAAAACAAGCATCTATTAAAGTGGCATCGATTTGAACAATCAGTGATTATAAGATGATGCTATCCAAAGAAGCAAAAAAACTCCAAAATAACCTACCAATGACAAGCATAAATGCTAGAAAATTTGGATTTCTGGTCAGTTGCCACATCGAAAACTCCACAACATCTTGAAATATGCATTAAAATTATTGAATCTTATCAAAATTACTTTTCTTCAATGATAAACATTTCGGAATAAGGCACTAGGATTGATATATTATTATGTACACAAAAAAAAATGAAAACTAAAAATATTTTACAACTATCACGATAGGTTATTTCATCAAAACAAAATAGTTCTTTTTTTTTTTTTTTTTTGGAAATTGACACCAATTATCACACTGTAAACGATTTCTTCTGTTCCAATTTACTTAGCTAACACAATGTACAACATTTTTGTGATTTTTTTTTACAATTTTAATATATCATGTTATACTATATGTTAAACCTACTATCCCCTTCTACAGTATCGATGAAATGTCAGGGTTTGCATATATGCACTTAAATGCTATTTATTCAATAAAAGATCACTGATAATATAAATATTTTATTTGGAAGAGAGCGATGAAGAAACGAAAATTCCACATTAACAAAAAAAAAAAACAGAAAGTAGAAGTTTCGCTTCTCAGAGTACTGTATAAGCTGTTGTGAAAGAGAAAAGATATTATTTGATCAGTTAAAAATATGAAATGAAAGAGAGGAGAAAAAAAATTGAAAAATTCAATATGTTGCATTGATGCAAGCAAGCAGTAAAAAGTGTGAATTGCGTGGTTCCTTCCACTAATGGATCAACGCTTCCTGCAGCATACAGTTGCTATTTAACGGCTATGACAAATGATGAGCTGATAACATTTGTGACAGTAGCAGATGATTTATTCAACTTCCAACTTCCCTCTTTTTTCTTCTCGGCTCAAAGTTGAAACAGAACGAAAACTGAGGAAAAAGTGAAATGAATGATATGTGTGTGTGTGTGTGTGTGTGTGTGTTTGTGCATGTGTTGCTTGTATGTCATTTTGGTCTGACTCGAGAATTCTTGGCATCTGCTTTTCTCTTTTTCATTTTATCGCTTCATAACATATGGCAATTTATATTTCCTCTCTTAAAATGAAAGAATGAACTGCTACTATTCATTTGGCGCTATGTTGCTAATGTTAATTGGTGACACATCATGGCCAGATAACTATTTTAGGCTGAACAAATTACATACATTACAGGAATTATTTTCATTGAATTATGGTTATGAATCAATGATGCATTTTTAGCTTTTCATACAAAACAGAAATATGAAAAATCATAGGTAAAGTTGTACTGGAAAATATAAATGAAATAATCCGCACTGTTCAATTAAAAAAAGCATAATCCTGAAATATTGATAACTGTTATCACGACAAGAATTATTCACCAAAGCGAATACTACCAAATAGCAACTATGATAGATATAATAACTATTATTAACAATATTTATTCCTAAAACTTCAATACAAGGATCACTATTTATGTAATCAAAATTTTCTATATCCAATACATTCCAATTTTAAATATTCGATTAAGCAACTTAGCAAATGAGCCATTCAAACTTGAATAACGATATTCCGGAATTCGGGCTTGTCAGCAACATAATAGTTGATAGTTAGTTATGTAATGAAGATAGGGAGAGGGAATAATGTTTGTGACAAATAATCCAAGGTTGAAATACAAAAAAACAAACACTTTAACAGCTTTAATAGTAAAAATTGTCTAGCAACAAAAATGTTGATGATAGCAAGCACTGACAAGAAACAGATAACGCATTCAAGAAGCATACATTATTGCAACCACTGTTTATCAGTTTAACAATAAATTCAACTTTGATAATGCGTACAGACGCAGACATGTATACATATAAGATGTATACATATACATGTATATACAAGTAATAAAGAAATTAAATTCGAAATAAAAATTAATAATAAAATAGAGGAGAATACGTATGTGGCGTCTAAAGTGTAAAATGAAAATGAATGAGTGAAGAAGATACGTTGAGGAAATGCATTCCAAGGCTGACTGCATTGACTGATGTCCCCGAGGAATATGCTTCATGCTTTTAATCTTCAATCTTCATACCGATGATTAGCCTTCCCGAAATAGAAAATGATCAAATATCTGCATTTTGATTATTTTAATTCCTAACATGAAATTACTAATTGCTTAAAGATGAGAAATTATGTATTGTTTAGTGCAAATGAAGTATAAAATAATAGTATATAAAATTTTATCATATTCAGATACACCGTATGACATTTCAATCTTTCATTCATATCGAATTTTTTCCTTTTCACTTCTGAATGATCCTGATTTCATTTAGTTGTGCTAATTTTTTTCCTTTTTCTATTAAAAAAAAGGATTGATGTAAGTAGAAATGGATTTTACATTTCGTATTTTACTATATAATCTTCTGATAATAGTTTTTATAGCATGAGACGAAAGTAAAGGCTAGTGGTTTGAGATTCCAGTGGATGGAAGATCGATATTATGACATAAAGCTTACCAGGAGAAATCATGAAATTGAAAAGGCAGTAAAAGAATCGAAATAGAAAATTACCAGAATTAGGCGTCACCGTAATTTTCTGGAATAGTATGGAATACTATCTGAGCATAATATTTCCAGCTACTCTATTAGCACATTATTGTGGCTTAGTTAATGTGGAATAGAAAAAGCCAAATTTCATCAAAGCCAAGCTAAATGCAAAAGGTTCCTTCCCATTTCATGGCATCTTCTAAAGTCTAATCGCTGCGATTGAAAAAATTATGCAATTTGGTAAGCTAAATGAACATTATTAGATTTATTCTCTATCAGTATCATTACCTTTGTTTTCTGCCTTCACCTTCGATATGCAGTGGACATCTCGAAAGTCGGAAGATTATTTTTCATGGCGTCCTGCAATATCATCTCGAGGCCGCACTATGATGTGTCAGACGCGCGGGTTATGAATATGAGGGGGTGGGAGAGGGAATAATGGTGGCGGGGGTGGTTGTGATTAGGCGGTGTTTTTTGTTTTAAGTGTGAAAAGTTGAAGTGATGAGTGCTATAAAAAGGTGGATATTGTGGGGCGATACAGGACATGGATGTTACAAGATTTCCGAATAATTGAAATGAAACTAGCTGGACAACAGTAATTTATTCCTGTAGACGGTTTAGGGCATTATATTGAAGGCCTTTGCAAATAAAGATATCATTTGCTTCCCATTTTCATGTGTAATTTCATCCCTTTCTATCTTTTATTTCCTTATAAGCAGAACATAATCTGAAAAAATTCGAATATTAAAATGCAAAGTTTATCTCAGCGTCATACTCTTTTTAAATTAATAAATGAAAAGTTACAGCTATTGAAATGAGTTCAACGAGTTCATTTTCGAAGTCATCAATGGACAAATTAGGATTAAAAAAGAAGTGCAGAGAAGGAAAAGCAGAATATGATTATTATCAACGGAATGGTCAATCCCTTACACGATTTGTACTATCAGATGGTTTGTTTCTTTACTAATGCATGAATTATCGTAATTGCTCGCTTCCTTGGCACAAAAAAAGCGCAGAAGATCTTATATTTTATATGAAAAAAGTGGAAGTTTCGAAATTGTTTTATGAAGAAAATGTTGTATGGCTTTCATAGCTACTTACAATCGAATTTTCACATTACCAAATCCAAAATCCTCGGAAATATCCAAAGAAATATTGTTAATGTATTATTTATATCTAATAATTATAATTTCAAATGATCATTCACTCCATTGTTCTTTCTTGTTTTATGTGTTGTGTATTTACTAGCGGCAGAAATGCATACTTTTGCTGTCAGTTAGCTTCCCCAACACAGGTTATTTTATTTCAGCCTATTCGCTGATCAAGTTGCTATCAGTGATCCCGACTACTCCATTTTCAGTGGCTAGCATAATGAAATTTCTATTGTAAATCAATAATGTCAGATGCCATAACATTTTGTTCAGTCCAAGCATCTATCTACTGAAACTTGATGTCGTCTTTATTATGTATTTTCTTGTATGTCACATATTTGAGGTGAACTTCCCGAGAAACAGCTTCACTTACTTCGCCATCCAAAGACGGGTAATGCAACATTATATGCAATTGGAAATGAGAAAGTAGAAGAATTGTTAAAATTTGATGACGGTTTCAGGTATAGTTTGGAAAAGCTTGAAAGTTGTGTGACAAGTTAATTTTATAATGTGGCACTTGAAATTGAATGGTGTAGTTTGATGAATATTTCTATTTTAGATAATTTTAAGGTGTTGAATTGGAATGCAAACACTTTTTTTAATAAAAAATATTTGAAATGAAATGATTAGTTTTTGTCAATGTGCACTTCTTTTTCTGCATTACAAAATTTTTTTTTGAGGTCGGTTCTACTTGGTGATAACGTGGTTAGTAATGGTTCACTAATTTTATTAGTGCCGGTGAATCCCGCAGTGCTGTTGTTGCCTTACTTGCAAAAATATGCGAAGGTAATATTTTATGATCATTTATTTAAAAAAACGACGCATGAGCATTGGAAGCCATTATTTTATTGCATCAGTGGGTATCTTTTCCCCGAGGATTGTTTTATTGTATTGGAAAACAATTCTTTGGCGAGCGTAACAATTTGTATAAAAAAACAGTTGATATGAATCATTCGTCGCTTTATTATGCACAGAAGTAAAGGAATTGTGTGTTTGAAAATTTGTAATTTTAACAAAACTGTCTGACAATTGAGATATATAAAATCGAAATATTTTTATCATAGTTTGAGACATGCTCATTGAATTTAAATTCTTTACAATATTTGTGCTTTTTGTAGGATGATTACGTATCATTGAAGGATATTTTAATGGATGATTATTTTCCATCTATAAAATTGCTTGAGAATGTTAAAGCTGTGAAATCATCGTTGAAGCATGCTTGTCATTGTAAGGGTTCGTATTCCTCTTAAATTGTTATTGATCGTTTTTCAGTATCTTTTTTTTTGACTTTCAATAGTACTACTGTGATATATTGTTTTGCTTAGAAAATGCCTAAAAATCCATAATTCACTTCAAATTTAGAAATATCAAATATCGAAACATACAAATACAGTGAATCTTTGCTGGTGGATTATTTAATAAACAAGATAAAGCTTTTGAAAAAAACGGACAACTGTAGTAAGTTTTCGGTAAACTACATTATGGTTAGTTGCAAGAAATAAGTAAAAATGTTTTTCAACATCTCAACACAATTTGAATTTTTTTTTTGGCAGTTTAGCTCTTTCTCTGTGAAGTTCACACTTTGCTTTTTGATCCATTTTGCAGTTATTTATATTTGTATAAATTTTATCTTTTGAAATACTGTTGATTACGGTAAGAATTTTGAATAATTTAAGAAGGAAATAAAAAAATGTACTTATGTTCATGGAAAAAAGTGGAAAAAACAGATCGATGAAGCATCTAGTTGTTTATAAATAGAGTAATTCGGCAATGATTTGGTTTCATTAATTTATCTAAGTTTTTTATAGAACAAAGTATTAAGAAAAATAACAATACCATATTGGTAATATCTTTACTATCAGTCATCTGTTGTTACAAGCTCATATACATATCTTTAATATGCCGAATTCATGAATAGGTGCGTCTTTTGTAAAAGTTCTTTAGAATCAGATTTCGACTGTGCTGTTTGCGGTATTTTGGAGGAGAATCTTCCAGATGATATACTGAGGTTGGTAGAAATCGATTTTACTCATGAAGGAAATGAGGGTGCGCCACCGAATAAACGTCAAAAAACCAGGATTTTGAAAGCAGGGAAAGGAGAGATAAAATAAGTGGAAGTGATATCAGACCATTACAAGCAACGGTAGATAATATGCAAGGAGCAACAATTTTCAATAGCAAGAAAACTTTTTGAGGATTGAATTTATGGAATTTTCTTTAATATTCTGAGACTATTTCGAAAATTATGTGAAAATTTTGCTGTAAATCTTATTGTTGCAGTAACCAACCCTTACATCGTCACAACATTTTTATTTTAAATTAATTGTAGAATTATGCAAATGTAAAAGAAATTTTTCACTAGTCACTGAAGTGCTAGTCAAATACATTCGCTTGAATTGAGAAGTGGCAAAGTATTCACTTAACAGTTGCCTTCTAAATTAATTTGTTCAGATGATTTATTCGTATACGACTCTTATCATTATTTTTTCAGAAAATAGAATTTATTCTCGCAATTGTTGCAAGTTTACGAACGAGATATTCCAAAAAATTGTCACTTTATACTGATGCGAGTAATCTGCACCTCCTATAAAGAAATTACTTCAAAATGAATGCTTACAACATAAACTTGTTCTGTAATACAATCCGTCATTGTTTGTCATGTTTTTGGCTCGCCTTTCCACTTTTTTAAAATAAATTTTGACTAAACTTGAATGAAATATGTCCTAGGTAGTGTCTTTGTATGCTAAGATGGTTTATGTGTCGGAAGCCTATGAATTACGTAGAACAAGGTAATTAATACAGCAATATCGGTCTGATTAGTGTATCTTTATTGTTGTTCTTTAACTCAGTGGATGCTCTTTGATTTGTACCATAACGTTACTGTAGAGCAAATATGGAAAAAGGAACACTGAACATTGAGTTTGCGATATCAATAGATAAAGGTGCAATATGCGTATCTAAAATGATTCATATGTTTCAATCATAGAATGTACGAATATATGCTAAAAGTTGACTAAAACATCTTATGACAGAAATTATCTGTTCTTATTTGTCATATCGCCTATAATTTTGTTCAGCTTCCCGCACAACTGATACTGGTTACTCATAGCAGTTGGTTCTTGACTATGGATAAACTGGATAAAGGCTTGGTGAAGATAATGCGAAATAAAGCGACAGGGACTGTTGCCATTTTTGAACGGAATGTGGGTTTTTTTATGCTCACTTTAATTTTTATACGCTTGGTTGAAGCATATTTTCAATGAACGTTGTGTTCATATATTTTCTCCAAATGATAAGTTGGTCTTTTTATTCTTGAATGTTCTCTATATTCGTTAGATGGTTACTTGACTTTAGGAATTTTATGCGTGCTATGATAATGATGCAATTTTCATTGCAAACAATGTTTTTTGTAGCGAGGTGGGTCTTCGACGATGCCGAATTGGTGAGTAATCAGTTTCTCTAAGTTCAGTGCTAGTATGAAAAGTATTTTTCTGAAGGAAAAAAGTACATATTTAACATTAAATTGTCGTTAATGAAATTAAACAGTATTCCATCAATTCCTAACTATAAAAACTCTGTAAATAAGTAATAAATGCATTGACTAATAAATGCTTGTAGATGAAACCGAATTAATGTATCATGTCTTGAATAACGCGCAGTATTTGCGTGTTATTCACGATGCCATCTTAGTGCAGAATTATCGTGTGGAAGTATATGCTGCAAGTGATGGACAGTGGGAGCTTAAAGCGAAGGTGAATTTTCTATTGGTTCAAAGTTTTATCGGATTTTTTAAATGCTTGACATTGCGTTCAAGAAAATGAATGAGGAGAATTTGTGAACTTTAATTATTCGATCATATATATGGACAATTATTAGGAACTAAACGAAATATGGAACGCATCCAGTAATATCATGTGAATTAAATTTCAAACTAAATCCTAGGAAGAAAGTAAAACACCGCTTTGTAACATGTGATTGATAATGTTACGCCTCCTCTGTATCTGAGTAGTTGGAAATGAGAACCTCCTTTAGAGCTCCTTTTTCCAGATATTTCAATAATTTGAAGGCAAGCATTAATTTATTTGTTTTGAGGGGTCACTAGGATGTTTAAATGATTTTGAAGAAATTATTGGTGACAGTGCTGAATTGTACGAGCTCACAACAGTTGCGGCGTTAACTGTGACAGAAGGACACGATTCCACCGAAGTACCGTTATCTGTTATTTATTATTCTGAATTTCGTGAAACTTTAAGTTTCTATCTTTGAACATGAAAAAAGTTTTCAGAAGTTTTCTTTTAGTTGATGATCGGGACTAGATTTCGTAGGTGTTTTCAGAATTTGAAGAAATTTCTTGTTTAGTGCTTGGTTTCTATTGTGTCCTGCAGTGTTCGAGAAATGCAGTTTACAATCGCCGAATTTCTTGATAATAAGCATTTCGTGAATTTGGAGGTAAGTACAAGTGATATCTATATCAATTAAAATTAACATCGTTTATTTGAAATGACCGAGGTTCTGATGCTGATGTGGTCTCAGATCAAATGATTCACAAAAAAATTTTTTAGAAATGTTTGACTGCATTAGTACCCCGAGAATGTTTGCTGGTTTCGAATGAAATGGGAATATCATCTGTCAGTTTATCCGGTGAAAATAATAGTCAGTTGAATACAGCACTGAAAAAAGCTGGTATCAGAAAAGAACTCTTTCAATTTAATGAAGAACTTTCTATTCTGCTTTCTGATCAGATAGCTCAAATGATCGATCCGAAATATAAAGGTAATTTTTTGCACGAGTTGAATTTTCCATTTGTTATGTTAGAGTCTGTTGAAACCTATAGCAGTGGAATTGCTGTTGAGGTGGATTGTTGGAAAATGTTTTTTCCCAGAGCTTTTATCATTTGCAAATTGAGAACAGATTGGAGCAAATTGATAGTGTCAAAATATGTAAGACAGCTCAAGTGTTCTTTGCACAACACTTTTCGAAAGTTAAATTATTCTCTCATTGTATTCTGCGTTATTATCATTAAGAGGAATTTCTATGAAAGGTTTAGTTTGCTTTCTTTCAGACATTCATATTTCAAGAGCGCAGAGAAGTTGTTTTGTAGCACTGATTCAACATTTGCATTTGAATGGTGGTGGGACGAAAAGTGGAAAATTTCAGTTACGTAATTACAAATCGGCAGGTTACATGTATTTGAATTCTGCAGCTGTAAAAGCTCTCGAATTGTTCAGTGTATATCAAGAAGATGGTATTTTTTATTCTTTTACCAGTCATCTTATCACATTTATTTAATTGTTCATTATGTGTAAAATTTTTTGGTATAGTGATAGGCAAAATAATATCTGAACAAAGTACGATAATTGATTAAATTTCAGAAGATTTATTGGATAATGCAGGTTCGCTTTATAAATTGTTAAATAAATGCCGCACTCCTCAAGGACAACGCCTTTTACGTAAGTCTTGGAAGCATAATTATGGTCGAAGTATTTTTTTTTTTAGGGAATATTTTCTTATAGTAACTTCTACTCCTGGTAAGCATAACTTTTAATATTGTCTAAATATAATTATAGGTGAGTGGGTTCGACGGCCTTTACATGATACACGCAGAATTAATGAACGATTAGATGTAGTCGAAGCTTTTGTCAGTAATCCATCATGCCGTGCTAGACTTCATGATGATATCTTACGTCGAATACCTGATATCACAGCAATCACCAGAAAATTGATGCAAAAGAAGGCAGGCTTGCAGGTTCTAATAAATTTTACTTATGTGAATTTTCGATAGCTAGTTCATATATCTGAGGAGATAGAATGAAGAAGTTGGAGTTGTTTCAGCAAGAAAAAGAAACAGGCTTATCATTACTAGTGATTTTGTAAGAAATTAAAAGGGAAGATATCAATTTATTTGAAGGAATGTTATCGGCTTTACCAGATCATCTGTCTGCTAAAACGATTCCATCAAATACTGGATGAGCTTCATGCTTCTTGTGGTTCCTTGGCACCGTCTGTTAATGATTTATGTTTGGTAGGTGTAAAAAGCATATTCTTACAACCCTAAATTTATTCAAGTGATCATAATTTTCAAGTGTCTATGCTTTATTTTGCAATCAGAAACTCGGCATTACAACATATTTTGCAGGAACCACTCGTTTTAGCGCAATTGCAATTTCAAAAGTTCATGGCATTGATTGAAAGTACAGTTGATATAACTTATTTCAAAGAAAATGGATTGTATAGGATTTTGCCAAATATTGATGAAAATCTGCTAACAACTGCTGAAAGAATGTATGAGATTGAAACGAGCTGTAACACTTTATTAAAGAAAGTAATTTTTTTTTAAATTTTTTCATCAACTTGTCGGTTTGTTATGCATGTATCAATTCGATGGTATTGTTTATTATTATTTCAGATGGCTATCTAAAATATTTGCATATTTTTGTTTCTAGGTTTGTTCTGAATTAACTGAAACAGTTAAACTGGAAAATAATGAACATTATGGTTTCCATTTTCGAGTCACTTTAAAGGTAAATTTGCTGTGTAATTTTCATCTAATTTTGCTACTAGATTTTCGAAATTTCGTTCACACGGAAGTATGGGAATTTCCGATTTTCTTATACATATTTGAAAGGAATGATATTTTCAGGCTGAGAAATCAATTAGGCAATCAGGTTTGCATATTCTTGAAACAAGTAAAGGTTCCGGTGTACGCTTTACTTGCGACCATCTGAATGTACTAAATCATGAATATCAGAAACTTTCTTCTCATTATGAATCAGTTCAAAGTAGCTTTATCGACATGGTTGTTGAAACTTGTTGTGAGTTATGCTTTCATCACCCAGAAGTTGTTTTATTTATAGAGATCAAAATATAAAACTTAGAGCATGTTGTCGAATCAGAAATATTTTAGCTGGTTATATTTCAACATTCTGTGAGTTATCTGAAACAATCGCTATAATTGATACTTTGGTCGCACTTTCTATGCTAGCTAGCGGATCTTTTTGTTATGTGAGACCACAAATACTTGATGAAGGTAATTTTGCGAATTTAATTTAGGTTAAGAAAAAACTATACTCAAGATTTGGTCTTAATTTTTATTATTTTTTGCAAATTTGGTACATTTTTTATTTTGATGCACCTAAAATTTCATTACATCAGAAAGATTTGATCATAAATAGTTAAGATGATGTTAGATGAAAAAATATATTTTTTCATTTTGTTGAAGCCTTTCATGAGTTGTTCAGTACAATCAATCTATGTGTGTTTACTTTTAGATAAACAGGTTCTAGAACTCAGAAAGTGCCGTCATCCAGTTATGGAGGCGAATCCGAATTCCCCACAATTTATATCAAATGATGTAGTCCTCGGCAGTGAACAGGGAGGTTGAAATCACTTCTATAGGAAATAATGCAATTGTTATAATGTCTTATAAGTCCCAATTTCTGTCTTAAATTCCAAGGAAACTACGTTGTTTCATAGATGCGGTCCATTGCAGATGGTGCAATGTTTTTGATGCTGACAGGCGCAAATATGGGAGGCAAAAGTACGTACTTACGTTGCTGCGCACTTTCTATCCTTTTGGCACAAATGGGCTCATTTGTACCATGTGAAAGCGCTAGGTTTTCTCTTATAGATGGCATTCACACAAGGTACTTTTTCGCCTCGCTGTTGGTTATATTGATTGCCCACTCAGTTGTGTTTTTTTACGAATGATGCTTTTTCGGTTTTTTTAAAATTTCATAGCAATTTCACTAATGAAATTAGGCTGCTCTTTTTATAAATCTGTCTAAGACAGTTTGCTGATCCCTTTCATGAGCTTTCTTATGGTCTAATCTAATTGAAGACGACTCATATTGCAATAAATACTTCATAGAACTTCAATGAGCAAGTAATATTCTCACATCACAATGATTGACATATAAGTTGATGCAACTCGGTGCTTTAATAAATCGATTATTTATCAACTTGCTAACTTAAAGCACTATAATCAACAGTATATTTCTTTGTTTAGAATTATATCGCGAACATATTTGCGAAGTCAATATTTCAACGTGTTAACGGGATTTTCGAGATATTTATAAACACTTCTTTCATTTAGGATAGGCAGCTGCGATTATCAGTGTAAAGGAGTGTCTACGTTTATGGCAGAAATGAATGATTGCGCATCAATTCTCGAGGTCAATTTTCATATCTGCCTAATTTGGTGCTAAATAATTTATTAAAATAGTTTGTTCCTTAAGTTTTGGAGAACTTTTTTGAATCAGTCTTGCGAAAATTTTATGAGCTGAGAAAATAGTAATGTTTTCTATTTCAAATTGTTATATTTTACAGTCAGCAACATGTCATTCGTTGATTATTGTTGATGAGCTAGGACGCGGTACATCAACATATGATGGCTTCGGATTAGCTTGGGCAATTGCAGAGTTAGTTGTATTTTCTTTTGCAATATATTTTCATTGTCATATCTTTGTTTTTTTGCGGTTAAGCAAATAGAGTTTACAGAGATATTGTTTCACGAGTGAAATGTTTCTGCATATACGCTACGCATTATCATGAACTAGCTGGACTAGGCCGTGTATATCCGAAGCAATTGAAAAATGTTTGTACCGCTTCTCAGGTTGATGAGAACGGACAACTCATTTTGCTTTATAAAATAATATCGGGCGTCGCGGGCCGTTCTTTTGGCTTAAACGTCGGTAAAATGATTGGTTTACCGGACAATGTTCTTCAAGTATGCTGATTTTCAAACCATTATTTTTAGTTCTAGAATTTAATCTTAAACAAGTAAAAGAATCAAGGAAGCCGTACGCTTGCCAATGTTATTCTGAAATAAGATGAATCTTCAGACTGCAAGCGACATGTTGGAGAGGTTGGAAGCAGGGGATTCGAAGTTAAATTTGGAGGAAGAGAAACTGTATAGAATGATCCTCAGTTCTGCAGATGACGAGTTGCGACAACAGATTCTGGTGAATTTGATGAGTGAAGATGACGAATCAATGTGTTCAATCTGATTTTTCAGATGGTGCACATCTTTTGTATTTGATCGCTGTGAATAAAGCCGATATATTATGGTTATGCACGTTCATAGCTCCCAGTCTTGAAACTCCAAGTTCTGTCAACAGAGCCGTGTCTAGTAAATAATGTAGCTGTCATATTTAATGAATTTGATCTCTGACCAAAATGGTGAGTGAGTTGTCACTAACAAAATGCCGGTCACATTCTCTTCGATCCAATTTTTTAACCGTGTTAAAACAAAGTATTCACTTGACAATCTGTGGTTCAGCCTACTCTGTACTAGAATCCTCAACGCTGTCACCGTTTTGTTTATGGCTCTATAGTTGCCATAAGTTGCGTTGGTTGCATTTGATAGCGCATTTTTTTAGAATGTGGTTATTTAAGACAATTACTTTAAACAATCAATGAAAATTTATCATTAAAATTCCTAAATAATTAAAGTAACGAGCATAATATAACTGCTCTACAATAATCAACAAAATATGTATTATTTTGCGGGTACTCCTTGCTTGGCTTCAAATTTTTCTGTATTATTTTGTGCATCCGAATTCAAATGTGGGATGGCATCTTCGTTGGAAGCAGCAATACTAACATGATATTGCGGAGGATCGTAGAAATCACACATTGCATCAGGGCTGGGGTCACGTCCCTAAATTACAAAGGGTTATTTACCGAAATGGAATGGTTGTTTAAATTCAAAGAAACAAAAACGTTAATCTACCTGAAAGCGCCGATAAAGTTCCCTTTGCGGCTGACTAGCTCCCTCGAACAAAATTGCTTTTTTCAGGCGATCACCGGTTGCACAAACGTCATCTTCCTTCTCAAATGTATCATGAATATCCAAAGCCAGCATCTAAAATGAATTCAAGAAAAGAGAAATGTATATGCACATTCACTGAGTTCTTGATCTTTATAATTTTTTTCCACGTAACCATGACATTATCAAAACACATTAAATCACTACAGGCATTGCACTCCCATAACACTCATTACAGTCATTGGAATACCATCAGAATACGTTAACGATGCTTGTTAAATACTTCGAGCTTGCACTATAAATTCAACATACCTCTGCCCAAAGCCGACTGTAATACATAGCCATCGATATATTTTGACCAAAAATTGGAGCAAAAGAGCATGGTTGCATATCTCTCTTTGCATTTTTGAATGCAAAATATTCTGTCAATTTTTGATGATATATTTCCTGCCATGTAACCCTATAAAATGAACCAGTTAAGAACTGACCATTTTCAACAAGATCATTTAAATATTACAAAATAAAAGAGAATATACTCTATTCATATTACAGCTTTTTGACTTCCCAGAGTTCAAATCCGACAAATCAAAACGAGTCCTATTTTTTCTCTAAGAAATGTTACTTATTTTTCTCATGTTTTCTGCATATTCTAACACAAACCAGCCTGCTAAGGTAAATTCTTAAAATAAACATATTAACATCTGGAGTATGTAAAATTTTTCGAAAGAATAAAATGACAGTAACACAAGCATAATGCTAAGGAAAGAATTTACAAACAACTGACTGATCAGTATCTTTCGTGTCGAAGAGAGTGAGGTCAAAGTCTGTCCAAAATAACGCACGATAAGTTTCATAAAAGGTGGAGCGTGATAAGCCCAATGCAATATTATTTGCTTTGGTTTCCGATAATGCTTCACCAGTTTTCTTGAAATTAATACATTACATAAACAATATTTTGAATGTTTCCTCTATTACTAGCAAATTTTTTAGTCTAGGATTTTCCGTTAAGTTACAAGAGTAAGGACAAGAATGAACGATAAGAAACATGAAAACTTACCAGATGTTTGCAGGACAAAGCAGTTAATAATACAGGCTTAAAAATGAAAAACTGCACAATAGTTGGCAGCAGATCAACAGCATCCATATCATGAGCGTGGAAAATTCTCCATGGTACTGTTAAATCTCTATATGGTGATTGAGAGAACAAAAATTGCATTGCACGACCTGCCTATAACATTTAAACCAGCTTGATGCCACATATACATACATACATGCATACATATAGAGAAATTGCAAAAATAATTTCTAAATCTTGTATTTTTTAGAATATAATGGTACCAAGTATTCAGAGTAAGTATAAATCAATTTTACCTATTAGGAAAAGAACAAACGCTGACAACCATTAAATTCATGATATGAAAGTAATCCGAGAATACAATACAACAACTTAATTCGTTCAAACAAAATTCTATCCTTCTATTTATTTAATGAGTTTATTTACGATCAATAAATAATAAATGAGTTGATAGACTTACATAGAAAAGAAGATTCTGTAATTCCTCATAATGTAGAAGTGCGGATGAGTCCGGAGAATTGGATACGCTCAGATTAGAAAAGAGATAAACTATTTTATCCCACCTATTTTCCGTACAATAACCTGCAATTTTTATACTGGAAATAGCATCTGTCCAAAATAATGACCAGTTATCGATAACGACTGTCTCGTAAATAGATGGTTTACACGTCAACACACAGCATGTTATATTCTGCCACGCTTTATAATGTACGGTCAGTGAATCAGTGAATAAATAGGAACTTACTTCGTCCAAGCAAAACATCCCATGTACAGCACTTATTCGGCCGTTCAAAGGGATCGACGTAGAGGCGACCCAAATGCAGTCCTAAAAAGCATACTGGCTAAATAAAAATAATTCCTGGTAGATCAGTAATGTTAATATTGCAGCCTATTTGGGACAAATTAATATTGCACTGCAATGTTCCACGCTAACGCTGAAAGTCAAAAACAAAAAAAAGCTTATCTGATGAATCTGTTATGGAGAAGATCCGAATATCTGGATGACATCGATCAAGGTTGTCTCTGGTAATATCCTTAATAAAATTTAACATTAAACAATTAATATGACAAATGTAATCGATAGATGTGTTAAAAAATAATTCAGAATAGCAACTTTTTACTAACAAGTATAGCACCGCTAATTTGAATATAAAAAAATAGAGGCTTACTTCGAATAAGACACCGAATATATATGAAAAGACTTCCAACATATTCTCAAATGTAGGCCAGAAAGGGAAATGATACATGAGATCCAAGGGATCAACTCTGCAAATTGAATAACTGATCTTTAATAATTCCAAATCCAAAATAAATGGCAAAAATACATTAAATAATTGTAATATAAGCGTTGGTTATTAATAACACAATAAAATTACCCGTGCAAACTTTCCGCCTCTTTACGGCAAATATAATATAGATCCGACGGAGCCAGGGTATAAAGTTTTTCTTCTTCCGCAGCAAAATTGGACCAAGTTTGCATTCGATCATCGAATAATGGTCGCATTCTCCTTGCTAAGCTAAAAAGCACAATTTCCAATAAAGGAAAATGTTAAAAAATACCGCAAATTTCATTATTTTTTTCAGTACTCTTAAATAGAAAAAACCAAAATCAAGCCACGATATCGTTTAATGAATGTCACTGCCATATTTTTGGGAAGTTGTATTTCAAATATCACGGTTTCCGTGACCTTGTACTTTAGCAGACCATCTCAAACTGTAAAAATATTTCTTTAAATAGTGTGCTGCTTTGACAACTCTGATTAAATCATCATCAACTTTTCTCAATAGCATGGTGCTATAATGATTTTAATACAGTCGTAATGAACTTTACTAACGCTTTCGTAAATTTTCGTACAATCTTTGGGGACTCTGCCATTTTGTAAGCCAATCTATATTCAGCATATGTGGCAAACCCAAGCAACGCAGCTTTTTTTCCTCTAAAAAACGTATTATATGCCAAAGTATTCTATAAAAATAAATCTCTAATGTAAACAAAAAATCTATCAAGTTACCTTTCATCAAAGTGAAATGAGGATACATTTGTTTCTTGAGTAATACATCATCCATTTTTTATCATACTTCTCAACTGAGTAATTCTAAGCTTAGCTATGAAACCAAGAAATGAAACATAATTCTTCTGGAATTGTAAACTACGACTCACCAAAACATAAAGGGAGAGATCTGAAATGTTAATTGCAACAGTCTTTATTAAAGAGTAATTGACGTTGCTTGTATTGTCCATAAAGCAATTCTTCTCAAGAACTTACTGATGTTTTCTAATCGTTTCAATTGTTCTTGCATTACTTGTAACACGGGCTAAACTATGTGGCCTTGTAGCACGAGAAATCCATTTATCCCAGACAGTTGCACGAACAGTCTTATCAGAACAGTACGTCAATATTGGCTTTACAGATGTTGCTGTTGCATTAACAAGCCACGGTCCCTCTTCATATTCAGTTCTACAAAATCTATCTTGTAATTTCATTAGATGCTCATAAATATTTGTGAATATTTTTTTGCACTAATATATCGATAAACAAGTATAATTAGATTGCCTGTTTACTGCAAGTTTCTTGAACACTTCGGGAGGTGCATCCTTGAACACTGCTCGGTCTGTAACTTGAATATTCTCCATATCTTCTGAATTTCGCAATACCATTCTAAAACGACAATAAATAACAGACGAATGATCATAACGATTCATGTTACCAAAACTATCCATTCTCATGGGTAAAATCTAACTATAACTGCTCTCATCACATAATACATAAGTTGCAATATGCCAAAATTCCGATAAGTTGTAAGGTAAGAAATGCTTCAAGCATACCTATATCTAAATATATAATGCTCAACGAAACTGTCGTGTCCTGTGAACTGCTCATACTTTTTAGAAGTTTCACCCATGGCTGTTGACTTCATTTGTAGATAATAGAAATCGGCAAGCCTTCGCTTCCATCTCTCTGTGGTTTCATTTCTTTCACAGAGTGTCTACAACTTCTTATATTAAGAAAAGGAAAACATTTTCCACTTCTAAAAATCTCACTTCAATATTAAAGGACATGGGTATTATTCAGCAAAATAAGCTTATTCTTTGTATAATACGAAGTCTCATTAAGGTTAAAGAAACTGTAAGAAGGTGCAAACAGTTTCATGGTTCACTTAAAATTATGTTTTTTAGCGCGGAATTTGCAAAAAAACAAATAGCATGTTTCTTGTTAAAATACTAAGAAAATTACACTTTACTTGGAAGCAAATCAGAAAAGATAACGTTAACCTTGATGGCTTTAAAAAAAACATCGTATTTCCATTTCGCAGAAACTTCACTGATGGCTAATTCGTGAACCTGTAATTAATTATTTGAAAAATTATTCTAATTTTCTGACAAAGAAGAGCCGGAAAACTATAATATAAAAAGGCCGAAAAAAATACACGATTAAATGAATAACTCGAAGACATAGTGTGCAAGCCATGTAACTTACTTTCATGAAATCAGCCTGTAATTCACTAGAAATCGGCCAGTCTGTAATCATTCTAGTCCACAGCGTATGAAAAGCATACAAGACCTGTTCTTCTTCAGCAATAAATGGTTCAATAACATTTTCAAAAGTTAGATCTTTCGGCTCCACTGAAATATGACCCCATTACTATATATTTATGTCCCATTTATCCAGTCATGAAATTTTTAAAGGAAATACCTCGGAGTTGTTCATAAGTTTAATAACAAATGAAAACGTCTAGCTTACTTCCTTCTAACACTTTCATATGCTCATGCAGTGTGGCTCCGTACTCAAACAGCATCCGAACTGTTCCTTCATACATTTCTTTCGCTAAAACTTAAAATTATTCCAAAAACTTATAGCAACATTTTCATGGATCTTTTAGCACTGAACACAAATATGAAGCGCAAAAAGCATTTAATAAGACGAGAAAAGATAAAACGATCAAAGCAACAAAAATGAAACCAAATGTGTCGATTCAACTGAACTGACATAGCGCGAAATAATGGCATAGCGGAAAAACTTACGTGAAGTACAAAGAGCTGGCCAGTCTTCTGCATTGCAAACATTGGCCACAAATCTGTTATTCTCGGGCGTAGCATTTGGCACAATAGGAAATCTGTTACATAATAAATTGTCAAACATCACGTTTTTCATTTGAACAAATAAAGCCGCAGTAGACCAATACATTGTTGTTTGGTTAATTGTTAAAAACGGAAAAAAATGAACATCATAATCAGAAAATACGGTAGAACGAACGTACAAAACATAATAACCAGAATGTCGATAAGTGCTTGATAACGAAATCGTTCGTCTAGAGCCATAAAAAATCCAAACAAAGCTAGTTGATGGTTCCGAAATGGTTGCATTTTTCCACAAAGCACGGCCAAACCAAACCGCCCTTCTAGCAACCACCGATACCATCCCTGTAAATTATTTCGTGGTGTTAATGTTTTATCCTTACAAAAACCAATTCTAACATAAATGTGAATACCACAAATGACGCAAAAAATTAAAATGAACAATGTTACTCTTAAAATTCTTACTTGCTATAACCCTTGACAAGAGCAACAGTATAATGAGAAGTTTTCATTGCTGTTAACGACTAATAATGCTCACAATGCTCGAATCAGTCGTGACTACCCGGGAGCTGACAAGCTGTACGAACAATGGTAGATCTTTCGAAAAAACTGTTTAGAGAACTGCTTATGCTGTATAGCAAAGATAGCAGCAAACACACATAGCATTGATTCCAAAGAGACAGAAAAGAATGATAAGAAATGTTACAGAAAATACAATCAGAGATTGAAAAAAAAGTTTTGTATACAAAAGGATGTATGGATACAACAACAGAGGAAAGTGTCAGCAGACTCACAACTCATCCAAACATCTTTCTATTCGATGGGTTTTGGTTCATATTGCAATATCAATTTTTCCGGCTTGTTTTCCGAAAGTGCTTTCCGGTTGTCTGTCTTGTGCATTTCGTGCAATGCTGCATTCGTCCGCCAACTTTCCATCTCTTCCGGATGATGAACTGAACTATATCCAGAATTGTAACCTTCCATAACATCGCGAAAGATTCCGTGGAAGACCCGACCAATGGTGAAAACTGCTTAGAATACTATCCATTGTCCATCTTCTCTGAGTGGTGAACTGGACTGCATTCCTATTCGAACCTTTACCGGAATTGTAACCTTCCATAACATCCCGAAAGATTCCGTGACTGTCCACTGTCCATATCCACTCAAAAGTGGTGAACTGGACTGCATTCCTATTCGAACCTTTACCGGCATTGTAACCTTCATAATACTACAGAAAACATCGATGGAAAAAACATTTCATATTAACAGAACATTATAACTGTAATAAATTCATCCATTGGAAACAAAAGAAAAAAAAATCAAAAAAAAAAGAAAGAAACTTACTTCCATATATCGGTGGAAGAATGAAAAAGAAGTAAAAAATGATGGAGTTCATGAAGTTTCGTTCACTATCAAAGGAACACTTGACAGAAGATAAGACGACGACGAGGAATAGTGAATGTGGATAACACTAAATGGGTACCCTTCCTCACGTGTTCTATATATGCCAGGTCATTATAGTCTTCACAGATCTTTTTTTCAGCCAATCAAAGAGAGGATCGTTCATATGCAAATTTTTCATTGATATAAATAAGCTTCTTCTTTCTGGGAAGGAGTTATTGTTACTTTTGCTTTCACAAATGGCTGTGCGCATGTCTTCTTTCTCTCTTGTAATCGTATATTCTTCTCTTCTGTTATTTCAAGCGATTACTGATAAATTATTTGTGTCAAACTTTTTTGAAATGTAATAGTAGTGGTAGTAGTAGTTGTTGTAGTAGTAGCAGTAGTGGTACTAGTAGTATAGTAGTAGTAGTGGTTGTTGTTGTAGTAGTAGCAGTAGTGGTACTAGTAGTATAGTAGTAGTAGTAGTAGTGGTACTAGTAGCAGTAGTGGTACTAGTAGTATAGTAGTAGTAGTGGTTGTAGTAGTAGCAGTAGTGGTACTAGTAGTATAGTAGTAGTAGTGGTTGTTGTAGTAGTAGCAGTAGTGGTACTAGTAATATAGTAGTAGTAGTAGTAGTGGTACTAGTAG